CGTCATGGGCCCCCCCCCCCGTCCCCCCCCCGGGGGAACTGCCTTCCCCCGCGTTCCCCCCCCCCCGAAATGACCTCTGTATAAACTCATAAGTAAATTTTTAAAAAGGAGGTCCAGCAGTGGGGCCAGGACACTAGAAGCCCTCCCACTGCTGCCCCCCCAGCACAAAAAAAAAATCAGGCAGAAGGCCAAAATTGGTAAGGTAGTTAAGGTTTCAGAGGGGAGCCGTGCCGTTCTGCGGCAACACAGCTAGATTGGAGTTCACCAGCACCTCATACAACAACGAGATTTTCGGGGTAGAAGCTTTTGAGAGCTTGATTCCTGAAATCTCGTACCCTGGAAATCTTGTTGGTCTCTAAGCCACTTTGCGCAGAGGCAGATTGGAGTCGTGGTTAAGTGCGCAGACTCTAATCTGGGAGAACCGGGTTTGATTCCCCACTCCTTCTCCACATGCAGCTGCTGGATGACCTTGGGCAAGCCAGAGTTCTGTCAGAGCTGTTCTCTCAAGGGAAGTTCTTGAAAGAGCTCTCTCAGCCTCACCTACCTCACAGGCAGTGTTCCCTCTAAGCTGAGTTAGTGGGAGCTAGCTCACAGTTTTTTAGCCGCTGGCTCACACATTTTTGTCTTAGCTCAGGAAGGAGGGCTCCAGAGCAAACTAATTTATGCAGTGGCCAAATGGCTCGCTCACGACTTTAATGCCAGCCGCTCAGACTTGCACATGAAGGTGCCCAAACCCCATTCACACAACTTATTTCTCTAGCCGGAAACAGTTATGTACAACCGGCCCTTAATAGATGCATGTGCTGTAGTCAAAAGCAGTCCACACACAAAAAAATCTTGTGTACCCCTTTCATGTTTGGTGTAATGTGCCGTGTGCAGCTGCAGGTGCGACCTTGGGTCAGTCACAAGTTCTCTCAGAGCTGTTCTCTCAGGAGCAGTACTTGACAGAGCTCTCTCAGCCCTGCCTACCTCACAGGGTGTCTGTTGTGGGGAGGGGAAGGGAAAGGAGTTTGTAAGCCACTCTGAGACTCTGAGTGAAGGGCAGGGTATAAATCCAATCTCTTCTTCTCTTTTCTTCTTAAGATGCGACCGGACTCTTGGAGGGAGGAGGGAGTGAGAGAGAGAGAGAGAGAGAGAGAGCACATAGACCAGGACTGTGATCTGTTTTAGCCCCTTTAAATATTAAGGAAAAAGAAAAAAAAAAAGAGTCATTAGAAGGTGGAAAAGGTTGGGGAGATCATATTGGATCTTCTGTAATAATTGTAATTATTGTATGGCGTTGTGTGTAGAGTAGCCAGGAGATCCTAAGATTGTCTAGCAGCCACAAGAGCTAGCTCTTTTAGCGCTATGCCCCACCAGGTGGCGAGCTGGACTTGTTTTTAAGGCAAGAGACGTTTCAGAGGTGGTTTGCCATTGCCTGCCTCTGCAGCACGGCCCTGGTATTCCTTGGAGGTCACCCCTCCAAATACTAGCCAAGGCCGACCCTGCTTAGTTTCTGAGATCTGACAGGATCGGGTTTGCCTGTGTTGGAGTTTTTATGAAAATCCGTAATTCAGCAGAGTTAAAAATAGCCTAGCAATGCCAGAGTACAATAATCAGACTCAGAGTCCATGTGTGTTTAAAATAGAAAAGTTTTTACTACATTCTAGCATAGGGAAAGGTAACTGGGATGAAAATAACAACACAGCTAAATAGCTACATCCTCAGTCTACAAAGGACAAGACTAGAAGAGCTAGCAATGGCTTCTCTTACATTCTCCTTGTGGAACAGAACAAAGACGGGAAGAGGAGCCATAAAATGCTAAAACAGTTTGACACTTTGCTTCCAATCGAACTCTTAGATCAGGTATAATTTTCCCGGGCTTGCGGTTCTAAACTAGCATTGGCTTACACAAAAGCATGTGATTTCCTGTGACAACACAAACAGTACACTGAGTGTTTTTATCTTGTAACACCCAACAGCCTGGCTCTCTCCAGGTCAGGTAGTGGATCCTCTGTTAGCTGTGCAAGGGAAGATCTTTACCATAAGCTATTTTACAAAATACTGTAAAACATTTTAAAAGCGTTACCTTTATTAGAACAGCAGAAGACATACTTAAAATCATCAGGAGATTTGATACGTGTGCTGATGACAAAACAGTCTACATTGTCTGATGTTCTGAAATGATGAAAGCAGCATTGTTAAATACGTTAATGAAATTTTATATATAATTTAACAGTGTTAGGTAAGATTTCTATACATGTGACCCATTGGCATTTATGGGGATGCGGTGGCTTAGAGGTTAAGACACTGAAAGCTGTAGACTGGGAGATCTGTAGCTCTGCAGTTCGAGACCCGAGTGCCGCATGACGGAGTGAGCTCCCCTCTCTGGCCCCAGCTCCTGCCAACCTAGCAGTTCGAAAGCAAGAAACTGCAGGTAGATAAATAGGTACCGCTTCGGTGGGAAGGTAACAGCCTTGGTGTTTAGTCGTGCTGCCCACATGACCACGGAGAAGTCTTCGGACAGCGCTGGCTCTTCGGCTTGGAAACAGAGATGAGCACTGCATCCCTAGAGTCGGATTCAATCAGCTTTCGAGCAAAGGGAACCTTTGCCTTTATTGGCATTTACCCTGGAATGCTAGAGCAAACTGACCGTTTCAAATTAAAAACAAACCCAACTAAAGTAACAGTGACTATTCAAATAAAGGAAAAATCTGTGTTCAGAGGTCTTGGTGCTAACCTTGGAGCTGCCTGCAGTTACCGCAGGTGGCCAGTAGGAGGAGCTTTGCTGCCCTGCTGGGTCTGCCCTGAGGGTGGGGGTGGGGCAAAAAGACCCTGGTAAGAAATGATACCCTCCTTAAATATTAATTAAACGTAAGCTGACACCCCTGAATTGCCTTGCTTAACCTCATGGAGTATTTGACCTGTGTGCCAGTTCTTGTAAAAGCCGTCCACGTCATTCTCTGCTGCAGCCCCCACCTAATGAAATGGTCTGCCTAAGGGGGTCAGGGAGGCTTACCCTCTCTCTTGGCATTCTGCGAAGTATGCAAAACTGAATTTTTCAAGAGGTCTTTTTTAACGCAGGCGATAGGACTGGAAGGGAATGCTCCAGAAAGATGCTTAAAAGAGAGGGAAAGGATTGTGGCCTGTACCATCTTGTATGGTGCGCACTACCTGTTGATGTATAAGAACATAAGAAAAGCCAATGTTGGATCAGGCCAGTGGCCCACCTAGTCCAACACAGTGTCCAGAAATACCAGGTGCCATCAGGAGGTCCACCAGTGGGGCCAAGACACTAGGAGCCCTCCCACTGTTGCCCCCCCCCCCCCAGCACCAAGAATACAGAGCATCACTTGCCCCAGACCGAGAGTTCCTATCTGTACCTCATGGCTAATAGCCAGTGAGGGACCTCTGCTAGAGATAGATGGCTGCATGTATTACCCTACCGTGTAGTTTCTGCATCATGTTAATAATGATGCTGTGTTTCGGCTTGGTTTCAGGTATCTGCAATCTTAGCCTTATTACATTGCCTGTGGGATGTCCCATCCTGTTGAGTTCATTGATTTATTCTGTGTAATCTCAGTGAGAAGGATGGAATAAAAATAGCATAAATAAATAATAAATACTTGGCTAGGGGGTCCCAAAGGGTTATCACGGGCTCATACGGAACGTATTACATAGTTTGTCCAACCAAGCCCAATTTCCCGTCCAATACAGAGCTGCAGTCCAAAGCTTGATTGATAAATGGCACTTGACGCTTAAAAAACAACCGAGAACACCCATACTTTAGCCTGCCAAGAACACAGGAAGGATTACTGGCCAAGTATTACAGATGTTCTGTTATTAAGCATTTGATGTTTAATGGTAATACATTGCTAAGCAGTCTCTCTGTCCCCGACCATTTGCTTTGTCAACGGACCTTTGAGCGGGTCCCGAAATCATCCCAGAAGCGACGGCTTGACATCTAATGGGGCAGTTAATTGCCTTTCATTTTCCAAACCCGCCTGCGTTTGGAAGGTCGTGTTTTGAAATCCTTGAGAGTCCGCCTCCGTTTCATGTTCACAAAATGGTCGGCCGGCAAGAGATGACAAGATCACTTGTCCGTTTCGTTTGGGAAAGTCCTCGTTCTTTAAAGTAGGCTTATTAAAGAATAAAGATAACAGGTAGACATTTTTTGGTTTGTGTCGATTGACAGGCAAGACACTGGTATCTTTTCGGAAGAAATTACTTAAAGTGAACAATATATATATATATATATAATATTTAATGCTGAGTTCACTAACAGTGTAGCTAAATGAAGCCTAGGTATCCTTGCAAGAATACCTTTCTCCTTTGAATTCTTTCTCCTTTGAAAAATCCACTGTCGACTCAATTCCAGAATTGCGTATTTGTGTGGCCGTGGCTCGTTAAGCCATTTAGGTTTGTAGGACTGAATCCTGCAGCCATTTTTCTCTTGTCAAGCCTGTTAAAACAAATGGGGACTCTGCAGGTGCATTTCTTCGTAGGCCTCTCCTAGCTGTCAGTAGGTATCAGTAATTTCGAAAGAGTCAATTAAAACCATGTGCAGGGCTTGCCAACCTACAGTTTGTTACGAAACACAAGAGACCGCTGGATATATATACAGATATAGATATAGAGATATAGATATAGATATAGATATAGATAGATATAGATAGATAGATAGAGAGATAGATAGAGAGATAGATAGAGAGAGATTTAATGCCAAGTTCACTAACAGTATAGCAAAATGAAGCCTAGGTATCCTTGCAAGAAACAACAGTGATACGGAAAGGTAAAGTCACAGTAGTGATTGATTAAACTGGTTTCTGTATGTGCTACTACTGAGATTGGGTCCCTATTGGCTTTGAAAAAGAATTATTCGAAACGCGGCAGCTTGCATCCGGACTACGTGTCGCTTATGGATTGCAAGATTATATGGATCCTTCTGGAATTATATGAGTCCACTCTATGATGAATATATGGACTATGGAATTATAATACAACAGGAGTGAGACACATTGATATTTTTGGGACTTACTTTTTTGTACTACTGTGACTTTACCTTTCCGTATCACTGTTGTTTCTTGCAAGGATACCTAGGCTTCATTTTGCTATACTGTTAGTGAACTTGGCATTAAATATTTTGTTTTTATTTATATATATAAATAAAAATAAAAATCACTTTAAGTAATTTCAGCCAGCGGTCTCTTGTGTTATGTACCATTTCTTGTATGCTGGTTCCCCTCCTTTCTTTCTTTCTTTCTTTTTTTTTGGTTTCTTCAAACTCCAGTTTATGGTCTGGAAATCTTTCGGAATTACCACCGATCTCCAGACAGCAGAGATGAATTCCCGCAGAGAAAGTGGCTGGCTTGGAGGGTGGACTCCGTGGCAGTAGAGCCCGCTGAGTCTCCTCCTCCTCACCCCCAGATCTCCAGGAATTTCCCGACCCAAAGGTGGCAACCCTGTGCTCAGATCCCAACTTCATTCCCACCGTACCGCGTGAACTTTCTTCCCCTTTCCTGTTTTGCAGGACCATGGGTTACATTCTTTCAGCTGGGTGCAGTTGCAGTCTGTAGTTGTGCTGTCATTGAAATACTTTTTTTTTTGTCTTTTCCAATTTTAACAGTTTGAAGAAGTCCTCTGCGGAATTGAAGAAAATACTAGCGAACGGCCAGGTAGGTGCCTTAGATGGGGAGTAGACGTGGGCAAGGTGCGCCGTGGCACGGATGGAGAAATGCCCCCGTGTCGCGAGACAAACCTCAGAGATGCTTACCATTCACCTACCAGTAATGTGTTCTTTTAATAAAAGAAGAGGAGAGGCGGCGAAAGAGCTCTGCGTTGCGCGGGAGCCCCGTGCGCTGATTGATTTGGACTGGCACACCAATTTGCTTCCCCTTTCTCAAAACCCACTAATCAGATTTAGCTTCAAATAGATTGGAAGCGCCTTTCGCCTCCCGTCGTTTTTGCCGCTTGCCTCAATTTAGGGGGGAAGGAAACTTAATCAATTTTGAATAGCAAAAGGAGGACTTTGGGCTTCTCGGATCCTTCTCGCGCACGGGCTTCAATGCAAGTAGCATTGGACAACAAAGGACGCCGTGGCGGAAGGTGACACCGTCCTGTTCTTTGGGGCCTCGTATTTTGCTCTAGAAACGGAAAACCCTAGAAGCCCCTCCCCTCCCCCCCTCCCCCGGCATCGGCAATTGAGCGCAGTAGCCTCACGATTGATGGGCAAAAAGGAATACTCTGGGGCCAGTCCTTCCTGGCCAGCTTGGATTCCGACAGACGGGAAGGCCCAAAGTGGTATAACGACTTTAAATGCGCGCCGCTAAACGCCGCTACCTGTAAGGCAGCAGGGATCCGTCAATAGCAACATAAATAAGTTTTAATGTTTGTCATGGTGAAAGCCCTTTGATAGCCTTGGAGGCAGGCACCTGTCCGCGGCGATCAAGCCTGCCTATTAGACACTATTGACTGAGACATCTGTGTCACTGCAAATAAAAGACTCTTATTGATTTTCTTAACTGCTGTTCACTTCCCTTCCATGTTGCGAAGGCTGAAATCTTAATTATCTCAGATGCGTATTCAGCGCCTTCACACAGTGACCTCTCCCCGTCTCATTGGCATTTCATGAATCAAGTAGTTGTAGTTGAGGGTGTCAGGAAGATAAAAGCGGGTCTCTGCGCTTGTCCTTCATCCAATCACCTGTAACACTCGGCTCTTAATAGAGGCGGTCGGTCGGGTCCAGCGTCACCCGCACCGCAGCCTTGATCGTCTGCGAACAGAATCCTTTAAATAAAACTTAGGAATATGGATTTCAATTTATTTATTTTAAAAATAGGAAAAACATCGACTCCCGACTCTTGCCTGAATGGCTGCGGTGGGATTTCTTCTGATCTTTATAAAAAAATAAAATACATGTATAGAATTGTTAGCCATCCCCGGTGTTTTAATTAAATTTTTACAAATGCATTTTGGAAGGGGGGTGGTAATACTGGGGATTTTCTGGGAGGGGAAGAGGGGGAAAGGTGTGGTTATTTAATTTCCCTCACTTTATTTATTTTGGGAATCTCATTATCTGACGACAGATTATTTTATTTTTGAGAGCCAGTTTGGCGTCGTGGTTAAGTGTGCGGACTCCGATCTGGGAGAACCGGGTTTGATTCCCCACTCCTCCCCTCGCAGCTGCTGGATGCCCTCGGGCAAGCCATAGTTCTGACAAGAGCTGTTCTCTCAAGGGCAGTCCTCGAAAGAGCTCTCTCAGCCCCACCTACCTCACAGGGTGTCTGTTGTGGGGAGGGGAAGGGAAAGGAGTTTGTAAGCCACTCTGAGACTCTGAATGAAGGGCGGGGTATAAATCAAGTCTCCTCCTCCTCCTCCTCCTCCTCCTGAGAGCCAGTTTGGTGTAGTGGTTAAGTGCGCGGACTCTAATCTGGGAGAACCGAGTTTGATTCCCCACTCCTCCACTTGCACCTGCTGGGTGACCTTGGGCAAGCTGTAGTTCTGGCACAGCTGTCCTTGAAAGAGCAGTTTCTCTCAGAGCTCTCTCAGCCCCACCTGCCTCACAGGGTGTCTGTTGTGTGAGGAGGGGAAGGGAAAGGAGTTTGTGGGCCGCTCTGAGACACCTTTGGGTCGTGAAGGGCGGGGTATAAATCCAATCTCCTCTTCTTCTTTAAATATACTTACTGAAATTAAGGGAAAAGTTAATGACTAGTAAGAAAAGGGAATGTGTGAAGAATATCCTTATCTTTTTTGATTTTGGGAAGCCTTCCCCCCCCCCAATCAAGTCGCAGCAGACTCATGGCGACCGCATGTGGTTTTCAAGGCAAGAGCCATTCAGAGGTGGTTTTTGCCGTGGCCTCCCTTTGTGTAGCAGCCCCAGACTTCCTGGGTGGTCCCCCGTCCAAGTACTAGCCGAGGGCCGACCCCCACTTAGCTCCCAAAACCTGGCGAGATCAAGCTACCCTGGGCTTGGAACTGCCTGGCATAGACAACTCTTGTGAAAGCAGGGGCAGTGACGTTTGTGTGTGTGTGTGTGCAAGAGAAGATTTAGAGTGTGAAGACTAGCGTTACTAGCGGCGTGGTGAGATCCCTCTGAGCGCATTCGGGCTCCTTTATCCATTTGTTGAGCATTTGGCTGAACACCAGTCAAAGGACGGCCTGTGGAGCGCCCTGTGTGCACAAACATCTCCAACTCACTTCGGTGGAAACATGAAATCCTGTCTTTTGTTGTTGTTGTTCAGTCGCACAGTCGAGTTCGACTCTTCGTGACCCCATGGACCAGTTCCTGCCAGGCCCTCCGGTCTTCCGCCGTCCTCTGAAGTTTGCTCAACTTCATGTTCGTTGCATCCATGACACTGTCTAACCATCTCATCCTTTGCCGTCCCCGTCTTCTTTGACCTTCGATCTTTCCCAGCATCAGGGTCTTCTCCAGGGAGTGCTCCCTTCTCATTGGGTGGCCAAAGTATTTGAGCTTCAGTTTCATTATCTGGCCTTCCAGGGAACAGTCAGGGTTGATTTCTTTTAGGATTGACTGATTTGATCTCCTTGCAGTCCAAGGGACTCTCAAGAGTCTTCTCCAGCAGCACAGTTCAAAAGAATCTATTCTTCGGCGCTCGGCCTTCCTTATGGTCCAACTCTCGCAGCCATACATGACTACTGGGAATACCATTGCTTTGACCATGCGGACTTTTGTTGGCAGGGTGATGTCTCTACTTTTTATCATGCTGTCTAGGTTCGCCATCGCTTTCCTCCCAAGGAGCAGGCGTCTTTTAATTTCATGGCTGCTGTCACAGTCTGCGGTGATCTTGGGTTGTATCAAAAGGGCCATAGCATCGGAATCGCAGGAGGTCATAGCCCCTCTGTGTACTGCCTTGGTCAGGCCGCACCTGAAGCACTTCAAAAAGGACGTGGGCAAAACCGAGAGGGTGCAGAAGAGAGCGAGGAGGAGGATCCAGGGTCTGGAGGCCGAGCCCTATGAGGAAAGGTTGAGGGCCCTGGGAAGGTTTAGTCTGGAGAAGAGGTATCCCTGTCCCCCTTAGACTTTGCCCTTGTGATATGGGGGAAGTTGATGATATTGTACATTATATTCTGAGATGCCCATGGCATGAAGCCCTTAGGCTAAAGTACATCATCCCTATTATTCCGCAGCGTAATGGACTCTCCAATCTGGATCTGGTCAAATTTTTACTCTCAGACCTTGACCACTCTGTCTCTAGCAGAATGGCATTATTTGCCTTAGCAACAAGGGAAATCAGAATGAGTTTAGTATTTAACGCAAAGTAGAAGAAGTATAGGAGTATACTGATATTTTTCTATTGTCTACATTACCATTTTATGACCTGTATTATGTTATGGCTTATGGCTGAGACAATAAACTTATACTACTGTTAACTACTGTTGGAGATTGAGGAGATTGAGGGGGGGGGGGACATGATTGCTCTCTCTTTAAATGTTTGAGAGGCTGTCATTTGGGGGAGGGCAAGGAGCCGTTCCAGTTGGCAGCGGAGGAGAGGACCCGAAGCCACGGGTTTAAATGACATGCAGAAAGGTATCGGCTGGATATTAGGAAAAACTTTTTCAGGGTCAGAGTGGTCCAAAGGTGGAATCAGCTGCCTAGAGAGGTGGTGAGCTCCCCTTCATTGACAGCATTCAAGAAGAGGCTGGATGAATATCTGTCAGGGATGCTTTAGGCTGGTCCTGCATTGGGCAGGGGATCTGGTCCATGGGGTTGCGAAGAGTCGGACTCGACTGTGCGACTGAACAACAACAACATGGCCCCTTTCAACTCTGTGATTCTATGATCTCCGTGTGGGCAAAAGGATACCTGTGTAGATTTACCCCTTCATGGAGTTGACTGGATAAAGCACCTTTGTACGAGCGCCACTTGTGCACACGGAAACATGCATGGAGCTCCACACTGAGGGGCAACAGGCACCCTCTCTGGCCAGTTCAGCCTGCGTGAGTTCTGTTTAGCGATCGGCTCAGTCTGATCACTCTTAACTGTGTAGGAGACCAGGCTCTAAGCCCTCCAGTTTCCTCATAAGCTGGTCAAGTTTCTCGAGCTGTAACTTCTGAATTTCCCCCCCTCTCTTTAACAGTTTGGTGGTTTAAGCCACACTCGGCATAACTTTAGTGCAGGGGACGTTTTTTATTTCATTTGTTTGGCACCTCTGCTTGGAAGCGTTAATAAAGACATTCATTCTTTCCCTGATAGCCTCCACTTAGGTTTAATAAGGAATTCATATTAATCATTAAAGGAAAGGGGACACGATTCTTCAAGATAATCAAATATTGACAGGCTAGAAATAGCTTTCTGCCTAGGTTCATTGATATAGGTTATGTGATATAAATATTTATTTCTTTTCTGTCACTCAGAGCAAATGCCGCCAATTGATTCGGCATTGATGTAGTGTCAGCGGTTCATAAGAAACATTTGACTGGCTCGTGTTTTCCGATTAGTCTCTGCTCTATAAAGTGGGATTTACTAAATCTCTTCAATTGTCTGCTCATGGAGTGTGACTGCTTTCTGAAGCCATTAGGCCTTCGATTGGTAACGAGGAGGTATAGCTTATGGGGCTGGAACTTCGGCTGGAGCTTTACATATCAAATCAGGATTAACTGTAAAAAAAAAACCCCTTTATTTTTTTGCTTCTAATGATTTATCAGAAATGCATGC